GGGGTAGAACCTTTCTCAGTCCTTTCTGTAAGACTATTTTGTTAGAAATCCACCCAAGAACAGCTTGTTGTCTACTGAATAGAGCCTCATTTGGGGTGTGTGAAGATGATGAGTAAGAGCTTGAACCTTTATCTCTCAGGTTGAAGCTTTTCCAACACACCAGTACTTATTCTAGTAGCACCTCTCTTTCTCCCCATTCTTTCCATCATCCCATGTTCTCTTGCTCATGAATATGAGAGTCTTTGGTGTTCTCCCAGTGTAAGAAGAGGAATTTTTTAAGTCCTTGAGTTTTGCAGACTCTAACAATGCTTCCCACCTCATTGTAACACATTTCTGTGACATGGTGTCGTATAATTGCATGTTATGTTTTCCCTTTTTTTCTGAGAAAAAGTAGGTTCTTCTGTTCCTTTTTGCTGACTGTTGACAGGCATCTCTTGAACATAATGATATTTTTCTTAGAATTTAAATTCAGGAGATGAAAGAGAACTTTACAACAGAAGTGTTCAGTGCCTATGTGCCTCGCCTGTGTTGCAGAACCCACAGTTCTAATTTATATATATAAGCACTTGCGTATGACTTTTTGAATAAAATATGGGATGAGTTATGTATCTGATTATAGTAGTTACAAAGACAGTATCTGCAGTGTGAATAGCCTAAATCAGGCAGCAAAACCAAATTGACTGGAAACTTAAATGCTGTAGCTTGGTAGGTCAAGCTCTGTCTTGCACAGATGAGTGTGGAAATTCTTTCTTTAAAAAGCATGTCATTTGATCCTTTCTTTCAAAATTATGCTAGTAGCAATGGCTGCCTCCTTTTGATCTAAAATGTAGGGTTAGAATACAGGTCTTGGATGTAGAATATAAATTAAATTCCTTTTTCTGTCTGAGTACATTAAAATGCACATTCCCTTCTTCCTTTGGAATGGTAACATTATAAGCATTTAAGGTATTTGAAAGTACTGCTACTCAGGTCTTTCTGTTCCTGTGTGTTCTACCAATTAGAATAAGAAGCTGTGCTCTCTTTAGTATTTTGTGTCAGGCCTGCTGAAGCTTTAAATATTTTATGCAAAATGGAAAAGCTTCAACAGCGAGAGATGAGAAGAACTGCCTGCAGCAAGGTTCCCAAGATCACCTGTATGGCAACAGGTACGTTGCATTATCCTGGACTGCAACAACAGGACTGCTTTGTAAACCAAACATAAGGCACTTCTGTATCATTGGCTGTCATCATACTGTAGGTTGAAAACTAATGTAACCAATCTGCCAAAGTGTGGGAAATGTGAATTTGGATCCTGTTAGGCAGAGGCAAAGATTGATGGTCTGTCTGCTGCTTACAGATGTACATTTTGTGCTGCTGGATGAAAGGCAAACTCTGTCCCTGCATAGAGCCCAGTGAGCAGACTTTGAGTTTGAGACACCTAGTAAGAAGTTATGTTTGCAACTTGCCCCTTTAGGATTTATGTTTGAGGTGGGCCTGAAGGGGCTTAGCTCTGTCAAGAGGAAAGTACATTGAGCATAACCAGCAAGAGACTTACTAGAGAGCTGTGCTCACAAAAATATCTTTGTGTTTTGCAGGTATGGGTCTAATTTGTAGTGAGGCTTAAAGACCAATTTTCATTACTTGAAAAAAACGGGAAGCTTCAAGGTCTGAAATAAAAGCACTAAGCTTTAAGCAAAGGACAGGTTCCACATAATTGCTTTGACTTTAATTATGTTAATAAGCTATGTAAGAAAAGCAGGAGTGGTACTTAGTCAGCAGAGTGTGATGTAACAGTTCAGTGGTATTAAAGGTATTTTTACTTGTTTGTTTCTAGATCAGACAATTTCAACAGTATTTTTCAAGTTTGATTGAGGTGTCAGGTGCTAGAAATAGGACTAATCATCAGTGGTTAGTATCACATGAACTTAGAAAATATTTTGTCTTTCTGGGATAGTCACTGATTTAAAAGTAAAGTCTAGGAAATGGGTGAGAAGCTAGTAAGACTCGCCAGCTCCTTCATGGGGAAAATCATGTTTTCTTTCAAATGGTGTAGAAGACAAGCTGTTAACTGAAAAAGGGGTTTATTATGCCAACTAATACAGGACATTGTTCCATTGTTCTGAAAACCATAAAAATTTTGGAAAGCAGACAGAAGAACCCATTTTGCATGTTGGAAACAGTTGGGTGTCAAAAGCATAGAATAATTTTCTGTGGCGTGTTTTCAAGTTACCTGGCACATAATGATGTTAATTCTCAGCTGAGCAGTTCGGAGAACAGTGATACTAATTCATAAGCTCAGTGCTAACCGTTCCTTTCACTTCACCTCTTCATTTTTCCTGGGAAACTGAATTCAAGGCAGTTGCTGACCATTTATGTCAAGTGTTCCAAATTCTCTTGTCCTTGCTTAACAGATTGATGCACACCGATAAATGCTGTTTGTCACTTTTTTTTTCACATCATGTTTCTGAAACATGTAATGTGTTTCACATCATGTTTCTGAATCATAGAGTAGATTTTGGTTCTTTGACCCAGAAGTTGCATGGAGGCTTTTCCAGCTTTGGGGGAGATAATTTCTGTGGGTCTGAAACACGGTTTTTGCCTGTGTAACCTGAAGTGAGATTTCACAGCAGATCAAATCGTAAAAATCACAGGGTTGGAAGGGACCTCAAAAGATCATCTAGTCTAAAAAAAAAAAAAATGAAGGAATTTGGTTGTGACGATTTAGTCAATGGATGTTTATAAATGACCCAAGTTTTATTCTGAGACAACACTGAGTAGAGGAAGTAATTTCATTTAGTAGATGATGTGGTTGTTCAGAAGCAGCTCTTTTCTCGCCTAGGAGAAAGGAAATGCTGAAGTGGCAGTGTATGGAGAGGCAGGTGGAAGCATGTGGGAATTTGTTTGTTAGCTAGAGGAACAACACACAGCTGGGCTGTGGATAAGTAGGGCTTCTCAAATACAAATGGAATTAACTCGTGTGGAATTATAAATGTATATCTAGTGAGGTTATTGTTTAACAAAATTTAAGGATATTCTCTACTGCCATTGAGTCCTACTGTCTTTATTGATATTGTATAGGTACAGTTGAGGCAAACCTTTTCCTGAGCGCAGTAGGGTTTCTCTTACAACTTGATCAGCATACATCAATTGAACAGATTGCCTACCTGCATGCTGTTTGTGGTAGTGCCTTGATTTTTAGGCTTGGAGGTGGTCTGACAGTCTTGCTTTTACTGCAGTTTGAAGAAATGACAATAAATGAAAGCTTAAATCTGTAATTAAAAAAAAGAAGTGATTTATAAAAACGTCTTCGAAATCCATATTGAGATATTTCTTTTCATCTCTTATGCTGAGCAGTCACCAATATACAAACACAATGTGCCTTTTAGAAGAGAGTAACTAATTATCCCCTCACCTACCTGTGCTATGTTATCACAGATTTTATAACCTGAAGTGTAGTTTTAGATTATCAGAATTAGTAACTGCCAAATATTGTTTTATTGAAATAGAATAAAGGTTAATTACAGCATCTCAAATCAACTGTAAAGTTATGCATTTAAGCTGATTTAAATTTATGCTGATAGTATTAAGGATGGTTTCATTTTCTTCTCCACCAGCTCCTTGAGCACTCATTCACACCGCTGCTTTGCATCAGGATCAGCATTGGTCTAGTTGCATCATCTACTGAATCAGAAATCTGGCTGGAAAGTCATTTTGTTTGGTTTTGATGGGGCTGAATTTCAGCCACGTGAAGTTTTGATCCAGTTGTCAATGTTATCCACCTAAGGAAGGACACAGAGTTGGACTTTTCCTTTTAGTGTCAGTGTGGTCTTACCTGAACTGATTATGGAATAGCATCTTTAGTTTTGAAAACCTCTTCTTAGGCCAGAACACAAAAGAAGGTGAAGTACAAAGTCTAAAGCATGATCTTTATAAAGAAAACAGGATTGGACTGCTTTTATGTACCATTCTATATGACCACAGTAATCTTTAACGTTTCTAAAAGAGGTTAAAGATAAATAACTGTATTACAAATACTGTCTTAGAATCATAGGATAGTTAGGCTTAGAAAGGACCTTAAGATCATCTAGTTCCAACCCCCCTGCATGGACAGGGACACCTCACACTGAACCATATCACCGTGTCTTCTGTCTATTGTCTTTTCATAGAATCACAGCATAGAGGAGGTTGTAAGAGACCTCTGGAGATGAGCTGGTCCAACCTCCCTGCTCACGCAGGGCCACCTAGAACCAGTTGCCCAGGACCATTTCCAGGCAGCTTTTAATATTTCCAAGGAATTTAACATAAGAAGTGTCGTAAATATATTCTTGAAGTAATACTTAAACCCAGATCTTTTAACGTCTTATCTTTTCATAAATATTTGAGTGAAATATGAAGTACTTGTATTTATGTCAAACATTAATTTGGCAACATCTTTACATTATAGACCTTAACAGTGTGTTTCCTGTGTCAAGCTTGGTAATAGGTTATAACTAATACTAACTAGTCCTAGTGAATACTGGAAGTAGCTTTATTGCAGACACTGATTTTTATAATACAAAGGTAGACCCCAGGAATCAGTCCATGTTACTTGTTCACATTTAGACTAAATTGTAAGCACATCTTAAGGGAGTAGAGATGTATCAGTCTGTGTATCTTATTCCTGGTCATCAGGTCTTTGTTTAGTGTGTTAGTCTGTTATTGTCTTAATACTTTTGACTTGTCAAGAACAAAACAAATGTTTATCTAAATAAGAAGTGAGGACTTTTTTCTAGGCAAACTCTGCTTTCCCTGTATTATCCCATTATGTTAACCTACAGTATTCACAGTCACTGGGAACTGAAGTTTCTGTCGTGTGACCCAGTCCCACCTCAGTTCTGGTTTCAGAAACAAAAAAAAGGTTGGACTGTTGGTGTGGCAGTTTCCTCTTGGTTGGTAGCTCAGGAGGACTGATGTGGCTCATGCTGTTCTCTGTTTTTTTTCAGTGGAAAGAATCCTCTGATTTTATTTGTTTGTTCTTTTAGCATATGCAGATGACTATTCAGGCTCTCCAAGATGAGCTGAGGATCCAGAGGGACCTGAACCAGCTGTTCCAGCAGGACAGCAGCACTAGAACCAGTGAGCCCTTTGTGGCAGAGCTGACAGAGGAAAACTTCCAACGACTTCATGCAGAGCACGAACGCCAGGCCAAGGAACTCTTCCTGCTACGTAAAACCTTAGAAGAGATGGAACTGCGTATTGAGACACAGAAACAGACCTTAAATGCACGTGATGAGTCCATCAAAAAGCTGCTGGAGATGCTGCAGAGTAAAGGTCTGTCAGCAAAAGCCACTGAGGAAGATCATGAACGAACAAGACGGTTGGCTGAGGCAGAGATGCACGTGCACCACTTGGAGAGCCTTCTTGAACAGAAGGAAAAAGAAAACAACATGCTGAGAGAGGTAGGTGACCAAGCTCTGGGTTCATCTCCAATCTTAAACTCTTCTCTGTCTCTTCTCCGTTTCACAACTGTAAGGAAAAAGTCTCCTGTCCTCTCCGTAAGCTGTATTTTCACATTGCAAAATTGACAGAATTTGTCCCTGTTGTTTTAAAACTTCTTCAAGGCTTCCTTGTGTGTGTGCTTTCTGGGGTTTTGTGATTTAGGACCCACTTTCCCTGTAGTCTTTGTATGAGGTTCTGGAGGTGGATTGTCACACAGACTGTAAAATTCATTGTTTCATTCTGTTGTAGTTTGACAGAAAGTAGCTACCTGTATTGAGGTGAAAACTGAGAGAAATCCTTGCAGGAGTAATGGATGATTGCTCTATGGTTTCCATGGAAACAGTCATCTTGCTGTGAAGGGTATTTGATAAAACTGTTAGCTGCCCTGGATGCACAGCCAAAAGAAAGATTACTTAAAGGGACACTGCTGCACACATAGTAACCCCTTCCCCCCATCCCTCTGAAAACAGAGAAGAAAACCCGTTGTTATATCTGTATTGCACCTTAGAGGAGTGACAGGCATTCTTCACTACTGATCATCCTAAAATAATGATTTCTTGTGTAGCCAGCGTCAATTTCTTGATATTGTTAAATGTATTTTACTCTTATCAATTTGCCTCCTAAAGTGTTCTAATATTAACTTCTAAAAAGCTATGTATTGTGTACGTACGCAGGTATGTATAAGCGTGTATTCACTAATCGTAAAATTTTCTATAAAGATTATTATACATCTGTAGATTGAATGCATGAATTGATAGCTATGCATGTATGTATAATGTGTGTGTGTGTGAATCTGATGGCCTGTTTTGGGCATTGTAAGGCTACTTCATGGTTCAACATTTTTAGAAAGCCTGACAGGAATTAAGCCACCTCCCTCAGAAGGCAGGGAAGCGAGGTCAGACACAGAGTTTTTTGAGATGAGTATTTGCAACACATCAATCACAGAATCATAGACTGGTTTGGGTTGGAAAGTACCTTAAAGATCATCCATTTTCAACCCCCTGCCATGTGCAAGGACACCTTCCACTAGACCAGGTTGCTCCAAGCCCCGTCCAGCCTGGCCTTGAGCACTGCCAGGGATGGGACATCCACAACTTCTCTGGGCAACCTGGTCTAGTGCCTCACCACTCTCATAATGAAGAACTTCCTAATATCTAATCTAAATCAACTCTCTTTCAGTTTAAAGCTATTCCCACTACAGGCCCTTGTAACAAGTCCATCTCCAGCTTTCTTGTACCCTTCTTTAAGTACTGGAACAAAATACATACTTCTTAATACCCCTTATTCATGTGTTTTACATGCCCTGACCCATTGTACTTGTGCTCTTGCAAGCATTTATGTAAGAAAAGCTAGGGCCCATTACATTTCTGAGCCAGATTTAGGCCAGATTTCTTTTTTTTAGAGCAGTAATCTCTTGAGTGTCTGGAGTGAAGATAATATGGTTCCAGAGTTTCTACACTAGTTTTTCCTTTATTTAGCAACCAATGATAATTCTGTTCCAATTCTTGTATCTATTTCAGGAAGTGCCCCAAATGCCTTCCATTTGTTTCTGCTTTAAGTCCAGCAACATAAATGAAAAGCTGGCAGCAGCTGTGTAATTTTTTAGGAATGCTCTTACATTTGTTTCTGCTACTGATGAGTAGATGTTGAGAGATAAGAATTCTTGTTTCATTCACACATATCTGGAAATCATCAGTCATTTAAATCCTAGTCTTTGTGGTGTAAAATTCTCTGGAGAAGGTAGAGATGACTTACTCAGTTTAAAAAATCAAGTGCTGTTTATCTAACACTTTAATTAATCCTCGATGCTGACCCAGCTCTAATGCATTGAGAAGGGTAAGCTGCGTATGCTGTAATTTGTAGCTTAAGCTATTGATACAGTGTGGGATCCAGCCTTAAAGCTGAGCACCCTAGTAGTCTCGAAAACTTGATGCCATGTGCAGAGATATCAAATTATCTCCTTATGGAACTGGGTCACATCAGGAAGGGTTTGGTTAGTACCCTTGTGCTGTCCTTGAGCTCTGAGCTAGACTGAGTTAACTAAAGTCAGGCTTGTCTGCATGAAGCTCAGGTCTCATGCTTGAGGGTCCAGAGAAAATCAGGGGATATTTCTGGACTGTGGCTGACTGCATCTAACATCATGAGCACCAAGTTGCTCTGCTCTGCAGGGTCTGGCTCAGAGTAGCTATCCCTGTTCCACACTTGGAAGTTGTCTCTGTGCAGAACCTCTTATGTGTGTCTGCGTCACCCTCCTCAAGCTAATCTTCTGTGTTCATCTGTATTTCCATAGTGTTAGGTTATTTTAGCCTTTTGCTGCACCAGATATGAACTGTGGAATTTTTGGAGCTGCCTTGAACTCAATCTTGATGGTTCTATATCTAGCATTCTCAGTATCTAGAAAGGCATGCTAAACTCTTCTTTAAATACTCGTTTTAAAGGAAGCATTAGTATCTCAAAGGGATTTTCATGTGCTTGGGAGGTCAGCATTTATACTTCATGTTCTAACACATTAGAAAAACTGAGAAAAACTTTAATAGTGTTTTGACCATCTTTGTTAAAGCAAGTTCTGAGATGTCAGAATCTGCTAGTGCTGTTTCTGACTTTATGCGTGTGCTAGGCTTCTGGTAAAATTATTTCCTGGGGATAATAATAAAGATTTGCATCTTGAAGCAAAAAGATATCCATCTGTTTTTTGAACTCTGAAGCCTGCACGTAATTCAAAGCATGATGTTGAGACTCAAGGTCATCAGATGATTTCTCAGACAGACAGTACAGGTGTAGTGGCCAGCAATCTGACCTTGAAAATGAAATGTAAATTCACTGATTTCTGCACGTATCACTTTTAGTGTGATTGTACTAAAGATTGCACTAATTTCCTAAGGAAAAGAAAATCTTAGAGAGCCCTCACTTGTGGTTCTACTAAGATCATAACCAAGGAATAGCTGTATTGGTTCAGGTCAATGATCCTTTTAGTCCAGCATTCTCTTTCATCTAATGGCCATATGCAGACACCCAGGAAGGGGTAAGAACAAGTCAAGCACAATACATCTCTGTAGTGCTCTCCCGTCTCCCCATCTCTTTACAGATGAGAGTTTTCTTGAACTTTTTATGGTTTGTCAGTTTAGTATCCTCCATGGATCTGCCATCTGAGTACACAGTCAGTGTCTTCTTGAGCCATGTAAGCTTTTGCAGCTGCAGCATCATTTGGTAAGTGGCTTTACAGGCCTACTCTGTTGCAGAAAAAACACTGTCTCATTTATTTTAAATTTGAACCTGTCTCCCAGTAGCTTCCTTCACAGCCTGTTGTTCTGGCACTGGATGACACAGGGAATGATGGATGGTCACCAGCAAGACCGTGTGCCACTCACAATTTTAGATTTGTCATATCTCTTCCAAGTTTTCTTTTTTTCCAGACTGAAATGTCCAATGCTACTCAAATTTCTTTGTATAGAAGATAGTGCATATCTTTGATCATCTCCCAGAGCACTATCTCAGTCTCCCATATCCAGGTTATGAAATGGATTCTCCTGCAGTTAGCAAGAGATATCTTCATAAGCAATTTGACGCTCTTGGGCTTTTCCAAAATGTCCTGAATTCTGGAGAACTCAGGCAATCTTTCCTTACAAGCCCATAGCAAAGATCCTGTATCCAATATAAGATGTATTTGCTAACTCACTGATAGAGAGGACAGTCTCTCATTAACACAAAATAATGAGAAATTAGATGTTTCATTGAACATCTGAACACAGACATGAATCTGGATGCCCTGGCTTCAGCAGATGATAATGTGACTGCATCACATTCCTCTACCCTAGAAAACAAGCTTCAGCTTCCTAGCTTATAAAAAGATGGTTGCTATTTTGAATACCTCCTCTTAAATCTTAGTGAAAATGATTCATGGTATTGTTGATATTCTAAACTTAACTTTCAGAAACAAAATTACTCTCATACCAGCAAGAAATGCTTGATGAAATTCAGCAACTGGACTACAGCTTCCAGAATAGCTTCCAAGTTACATTAACTGCCACCTTATTGTTCCAGACTCACCTGTTGCAAGATTATCACTGGTGGCAGTGACAGCACATAGGTCTCAAGATATTGAAGCTTGCTGTGCTCTTTTTTACAACCTCCCTGCTCTCCCCCTTCATTTTAATGCACTGAATAGAGATAACATTTTTCTCAGCTAAACAGAGTAATAGACCAAAAGTCAGTGCAAGTTATGGCATGATATGGTGTGGATTGTATCCACATCTGGTGTTCTAGACACATGGAGTACTATGGGCAAAGTATGATTGGTAAGGACAGTCCAACATTATTACACCAACTTGGTTAAAGCTTTCTCTCAATTTGTTTGTTACTGTCTGTCTTTAGGAATATATTTTTGGAGAAGAAAGCTTAGGCCAAATTTCTCATCTGCCTAGAAGAAAGGAGAAAAGCAAAACTATCTGTATTGGTTCTACCCACAGGGAGCAAAAAGGAGCTGCTGTCTGTCTGTTATTGTTAGGTATTTGCTAAACAGCTTTGGGAGGGTTGTCCTGTTTCCTTACTCCTTCACAAGGGATATCAGCACAGACTTTACAGCAGTAGTTGTCTGATGACCTGTTTGTCTCAGGGCTGCTGCTGGACATACATGGTCTGAAAGCTGAATACATCTTTGTTCAGAGTAGTCCTATGGCATATACTAATTGGAGTCTCCAAGATATACTGATACACCACTGCATTTCTCCTGCCCAGGCAGAGATTCACTTTGATGTCTCAAATCATAAGAACTAAGGATGTATGAAGGGAAGTTCCTAAATGTATTCTCTTCTTTTCATTAGCCAGATGCTTAGTGGTATTTAGTGGTATATACCCAATACACCTATGAAGCCTTCAATCCCATCATGTCCTGTGTAACTGAGTCCTGATAATGTACATGGCCCTAACCATCTGCTTACTGATCTTGTAGCTGCAGCATTCT